CCCCAGGTCCCTTTCTGCCTGGCTGCTGTCCCACCACTCTTTCCCCAGCCTGGAGCACTGCAGCGGTTCTTGTGGCCAAACTGCTGGACCTGAAACATGGTGTTCTTACACCTTATGTTGTTGTCTTTGGACCCTGGATCCAGCGCCTGTCCTGGTCCCTGTGCAGAGCCCTCCTACCCTACAGCAGATCAACACTCGAATCCATCTTGGTGTCTTCACAGTTCCCTTAGGCCCTAGAGTATCACAATGTTCTCCTTGATTTCATGAGGTCTCTCAGTGTCACAAATGTCCCTTTGGTTCCATGGCACTTCTTGGTGTCACAAAGTCCCTTGGACCATGAGCTCTGCGGTGTCACAATGGAGCCTTGGTTACACAAGATCCTGCAGTGTCACCAGGGACACTTGGTTCCATGGGGCACCACAGTGTCACAATTGTTCCCTTAGTTCCAAGTGTCCTTGCAATGAAACAATGGCCCCTTGGTTCCACAAGGCCCTGCAGTGTCACAGTGGCCTCTGTGGTTCTACCAGGACCCAGACTGTCCCAATGGACTCCTTGCTTCCATGTAGCCCCACAGTGTCACAGTGGCCCCTTGGCTGTGTGGTGCCATGTCGTACACAGTGTCACTCTGGTCCTCTCAGTTTCACGAGGCTCCGCAGTGTCACAATGGCCCCTTGCTGCCCCAGGGCCCTGCAGTGTCACAGCCATCACAGAATCACCCAGGCTGGAAAAGACCTTGGAGAGCATCAAGTGCCACCTGTGATGCAACACCCCCTTGTCACCCAGATCATGGCACTGAGTGCCACATCCAGTCTTTCCTGAAACACTTCTAGGGACAGTGACTCACTCACGTCCCTTGGCAGCCCATTCCAATGCCCAGTCACTCTTCTTGTGAAGAGTTTTTCCTATTGTCCAGCCTAAATGTCCCCTGGTGCAGCTTTAAGTGTGTGTCCTCTTATCCTTTCACTGTTCCCTGGGAAAAGACCCCAACATCCACCTGGCTGCACCCTCCTGTCAGGGAGTTGTAGAGTGATGAAGTCTCCCCTGAGCCTCCTCTTCTCCAGGATAAACATCCCCAGCTCCCTCAGCCACTCCTCACAGGACTTGTGCTCCACACCCCTCACCAACCTTGTTGCCCTTCTCTGGGCACGCTCCAGCCCCTCCATGTCCTTCCTAAATTGGGGCCCAGAACTGGACACAGCACTGTGCTGCCCAAGCAGTAGAAGAATCGCTGTTGTGGTCCTGCTGGTGACACCATTCCTGATCAATAGGAGTCACAGTTCTTGGATGAGGGAAAAGCTGAGGAGGAGGTGAGGACAAAGTGTTATTGATTGTCAGCCATGAAGGGTCTTGATTTTCATATCTCTTCAGACTGTATTAGAAGGTTTCTGAGGGTCAATATAATTGGGACATTGTTTATATCCATCTAGAAACAGGAAAAGAAATCTTTACAGGACAAACCGTTCCCTCTGCGTTGTTTTCAATATAGTATAGTCCCTTGGAATACACTTCTGAAATCTGTCTAATTAACCACAGAAGAATTGAAAACATAAATTATTCCAAGGAAGTTTTCTTGTTTGGGCGTTTTGAGCAAATGTTTAAGAGTCTTTGTAACAGAATATCTCATCAGAAGAGCTGAAGAAAGAAAGCAGCCTCTGGAGTAGTAAAATTCATCAGCATCCTCCAAGTGACTGAGGATCCATCCTCATCAGAGCAGGAATGAACAGAAATGGGCACAGCTTTCTGGCTGCCCCAGCTCTGGGATGGGCCCTGGGCCTGGA